TACATACATATATATATATATATCGAATAAGTATGTTGTAGGCTTCTAGGTTTTCCTGATCCTCCAAAAAAAGTAGGTAAACTAATGCTCCAACACCTGCGAATGGCTGTTAATCTACATGCCTTACATGCCGTTGGGGCCCTGGTAGGGTTTGGGGCTTAGGGGTTCCAGAGTCCAAGATTTTGAAGGGGGCGCTTAACCGCAGCCCAAACCCAAAGAAACGGGCATGTGATAGCTAGTGTCCAGAGTTTAGAGCCCAAGAAGGTTGACCTCGTGAAGGTTCCCCATTGCAACCCAGGTGCGACCGATAATGCTTCTAGACATGCGAACGATGTCACGCCATTCTGGGCGATCACGGCCTGCAGGGTTTTCGGAATTGATAGGTCTCGGCGCCGAACCCCGACAACACCGGCCTCTCATGGTTGCAATTCCCAGCGTCAGACTGCTAAGCCCTCCTGTTTCACACCTGCTCTTGCTGCGAACATATAGTCAACACGCACAAGCCTTCATAGCATTCAGAACGATCGTGCCTATAACTGCCAATTACTAGTTCCTAGTGACCTAGTGCGTTTAAGTTTTAAAGTTTGCAGCCGCGCAACCCGGAGCACCACGCCGGCTGTTCCACAGAAACAGAACAAATACTCACCCAAGGCTTGACCTGCAGGATAGACGTCGCAGAGGTCAATAACAGTACCAACCTTGCAGAACAGTCCCCTAACATCTCTAAACTATACAATCGCCTTACGGCGAAAGCCCCCGGCGGCCTGCATCCGGTCTAGCCCCGCCAGTTTCATCATGGACTGGAGCCTCGGATGGAGTTTACTTTGCCTTATGGATTTAGGGTTTAGGGTCTCCATGTCTTGCAATCTCTCTCTCTCTCTCGCTCGCCATCCGCCTTTGCCTCTCTAAAGCAGATCCGCTGTCGGCGTGTTTGTGTATGTACAAGGGTTTAGGGTTTAGGAGGGGAGAGGAGCAATAACTACACATGCGGGAGACGTGGCTGGAGACAGATAGAGATATGTTGTAGCTGAGGCTCAACATGATGAATCTCTCTTTCCACTTAAAGGTTTCAGAAACTCAGTAATATCTTGTAATCTAGGGCTGTAGGGTCCTGAAAACTCAATCACTAGATCCTACTCCTACTATTCAGGAACTATATGTTCTGAAGAAGGTCCCAAACAAGTTCATTCCAATATTCCGAGGCCACGAAACTGCTGCGTTGCGCTTTTCCCGGGGAGCGCTTTGGACAACCATGCAGGGTTTCAGGCATGCGCATGCGGTTTGTGGTAGTTCGTCACACGGTGCCTACATGAAGCGAAGAGATGATCTGACTTCGATGTTGTCACATTTTTTAGCCTCAGCTGCTCTTCGTCCTAACTGTATCTAACTTTGGTTGGTATTTATTAGACTTAGCGCTACTGTTCCGTACTTTTACTTTTACTTCTCCGCCATGTTGGCTCGCTAACCGCTAACCTCGCAACCCCCAAAGCTTACGCCCCCGATGCTCCCGCTCCCGATCCGAAAAGCTCCATAGCCTAAGCTCCCACCTCCATCACGAAACCGACACGCCGTACCGAAAACCCTATTCACCCCCTGTGCTATCTCATAACTCCGACTTGACAGATGAGGTCTTCCTTATTCTTCCTTTACGAGTTAGCATAGCTATAGGTTTATAGGCTCAGGATTCACGGTATACGGTATCGGCATACGGCTATAGACTCCAGATGATAGATGTCCCTAAACCTTTGCAAGGCAGCCAGGTGGCTTCTCACAGATACCGACGGCCACAGGGGGTGCTACGTCCCCAAGAGGCGACATTCCGCATGTTGTCTCCTTTGCAAGACTGGCTTCGTGCAATGAGCTGTCATTTTGTCTCGGGATGTACGGGTCTACGGCGCAGGGTCACGGCTTCTTACTGGGTCCGGAGATGTCCAGGTTTTCTCATGGAGCCGGCTGGGGGCCTTCAGGGTTTGGAGTACTGGCTTGGGGCCAAGGGCATACTCCGAAGTGCCTGCCTTGAGTTCTGGAGAGCCGAAAGCCCACACTAACTCTTAACGGATGCAGTCATCCCGGAGCCCGAGGCCCGATACCGCGAATGCTGAACCTTAAACCCTCAACCCCGGACCTTCCAGCCAAAACCCAAAACCCGAGCCCTCAATTCCAAAACCTCCGAAAGCCAGACACCCTGAACCTAAGCCCACAACCCAAGCACCTCTTTTGCAGCCAAATGAAGGCTCTTGAGGTTGCCTCGGCTCGCGAGCTACCAGCAGCTTTCAAACTAGGCCTTGGCGCTTGTAGGGTTTAGGGTTCAGGGTTTTGGGTTCCAATCATGCAGCTCCGGATCTTGCACGTCATAAGCCTCTTCAGCACGAAGCCCAGCATGAAACAACCACAGTGTGACGAGATATCTCTGTACCGAATACTACTTACTCGCAGAAGGGGCACTCTAGCCATCAGAGGCTATCAAGAACGGAAACTGCGAGCTTGATTCATTGACATTGAGATGCATGATGCATGCAACGCGAAAGCTCCGGGTCCTAGAGGCATCGATTAAAAAGACCTAGCCACGTTTACTTCCGAACTATCAGACTGTCTAGGCGAAGCCACTTGCTTCCAGGAGTCACCGTGACTGAGACCCTAAAGCCCAGACAACAACCTGCAACCCTCCCTTACTAATTAGTACTTAATGGACTATGATTTTGTTATTATCATTAGCTATATATTAGTATTTGTATTATTATTAAAATTATTCTTCTTATTATTATTATTGTTCTTCTTCTTATTATTATTATTGCGATCAGCATTAAGACAAGCTGCAGGCATGCCCCGGCCCGAAGCCAGCAGCTCTAACACGGCCCACGATCTCCGAGAACTCGTCGGCTGTCAGCTTACCCAAGCCTTTCATAAGCACACGCTCAGCCCCAGCTAATTTTTAGGCTTACTTACTACAGTTACTATCCGGCCAAGGGAAACTTAGGGTTTGGAGCTTGAGGCTTATAGCGTCTAAGGTTTAGGGGGTCAGCACCCTGAACTCAGCTTCGAGTCTCGACCATAAGTTCCCAGCCCTACGCCCGAGCCCCAAAAAACCAAAAGCCTTAACCCGAACATGCCCCGAACTCAAACTCTACTGTGCACCGGCCCAGTGGGGCAAGCCTAAATGCGAAGACGGGAGACTGAATTCTTAACTGTTGTGCCCGAATTGCAACGAACCCTCACAGGCTCGCTGACTCCGTCTTGAACCTAACCGCTGGCAACAAAACTAATTAATTTGCATGCAGCATACAACGAATGGGATGGATTCTTGGGTTAGGTCTAGACACTCCTGAACGATGTATCCAGATACAAATACTGATATAGATTTAGGTAGACGTATGCATATATGCATAGGTATATAGGTACAGGCACAGGATACAGGTTTAATGCACAAAAGTCTTTCCCTCGACCCAGCTGCACCTCATGTGCACGACGCCTGCCGTACATGCAGTAAACAAACCTTGGGGGCTTCGGAAACCTTTCCAGGTCACCCTGAAGCCTCGAGAGCTGCAGGAGCTCTTACCACCTGTACCCTGCAAAACTGAGGAGCGTCATGCCAGGGCACAGCCGAAGGTGTTCACCCCGAGATTCGATAGGAGGTCGGCGAGACAAGGAACTCCTGTGCCAGGGGAGGTATCTGGAGGTACTCGAAAGCTAAGTCCCGAAGCCTTTCATCAGCAGGGCTGGCGTAAAACTCTGGCAGTTTGGACGGCTTAGGGTCAAAGTCGAGGCTCGGGGTGTGGACATCTTCGCTGTTCTTGCTTCCGGGCTCGCTTGGACCAAGCCAGCATCAGCGCAGGAAGTTTTCCCACCCGCCCAGCTGACAAAGTCGCACCGCAGGGAGTTTCGTCGGACTAGAGGTTTTGCGAGGGGCCAGGACCAAGGGCGCCGATTACAAGCTCCGCTCAAAGCCCCCACACCAGCACCAGCTGCCAAACGATGAAGTTAAGAGCTTGTACAGCCCTCGGTACCCGAGTCCTAGCAGAGACCTGAAAAAAAAACCAGCCACCTAGCCCGAAGAAGCCCCTGGCCTAGGCTTTCAAGTCTCAGCAAAGTTGGTTGTACACACGACAACCACTTGTTAGACCTCTTCAAGTTTCGGGGGGTTTCAGATTTGAGTTGCCGCCCGGACCGTTCCCGGTCTGCCTGCATCGAGGAGCCTTTCGGTGAGCTTCTTCGAGACAACCTCGGGTCCACTCGTCAATCGTGTGCTTTGGCTTTGGGGGGGCGTTGCCGCTTGAACCTCAATAATGTTCGATTTTTGGATGGGGTCTGTCGTCTTGGCCAAGGTCGTGCCTCCTCAACCAAGCTTTTATAAGGCTTAGTTGAACCAGTTAGCCCTAAATCCCAACCGGCGGATCAGATCTCAAATTCAAAGCATTCTAAACCCCAGGCGCTAAGCTAAGCCCCAATGCTTTCTGGCAGCTTGGTCCCCTGGGTTTCGGAACCTAGCTCCTCTTGTTCAGGGTTTAGGGTTCTGGGTTTGGGGGTTCAGAGTTTAGGGTTGGGATGTAGGGTTTAAGTGAGGGCTGGGAGTTTGGCGTTAAGGAGCAGCTAGAGCCTAAATTCCACCCGCGCAAACACCCTTGGCTGAAGGGCTTGCCGGCAAATACGCCTGGAAGGTAGACGCTACACCGTTCAGGGCCGTGTTCACGACATCACCACGGAATAGCCTAGAAGTGTGCGATTGCATAGAATGTTCGAGCATACCGCATGCATGTTGATGGACAACATCTCGCGGCAATCAGGCCCGACATGATTCTCGTGGAGGTAGAAATCCAGAGAGCCTTAAGAACCCAAGCACCAAAAGCCTTAAAATCATCTTGAATCCAACTCAGTCCCGAGCTGTAACCCGTAAACTTTGTACACACTCCAAACTCTGGAGACTCTAGATCCCAAGCGATTCAGGGTCAACTCATAGTGCTGGGATCCCCGCAGGAGCCGTGATTTTGGGTCGCTCTTCCTCCTTCAAGTGGAGATGTTTGAGATTAGCAATGCTAGCCCTGATGCTCTGGTCCTAGATCCTGTTGGCATCAATTAGAGTGCCAGAACAACACTACGAAGAAACACCTTTTTCAAAGTGAATGGTTAAACCAGGTGTTGTAAGTTCACAGAAGACTCCCTGAGCTAGCAAGCTCGTGAAAACCAAACCCTCTTGTTCCCAGGTGCTTCAACCTCAACTCCGATATCGGAACCAAGAACACAAACTAAGAGGTCAAAGAACGACTTTTGCAAGCTCAAAGCCGGTCTGCTCCTCTTCCGGCCCCATCGCTCAGAAATGATCGTCGGAGCGACAGCGGAGGCGTCAGTTCAGCAGGGGAAACTCTGGCTTTGCGTTACTGTATGACTAAAAACACTTGGCTCATGTGACTATGCTCTGTCAGAGTTGAAAGCAACCAGATACTACCGGGATGTTTTCTGTCGCGTCCTCTTTAGTGGGAGTTGACTGGCGCTGCTTCAATGCTTTGGGTCGGATGGGTTGCTTCGGCCCTGGTAGAGGGAGAAAACATTTCTGCCAGAGCCGGGGGGGGGACAGACTTCAACAAGCCAGCCGGCTGCGAGCAGCGGGAACTTTCAGCAAAAAAAATTGACACTCCTCTTCCAGCCCGAAACAGTAGGCAAGGTCCTTCCCACAAGAATCTCGGCGTTGAGAGGCCTCAGCCCCAACCCGAAACATGCTCGAGCTTGAATTACACGTGCAACTCGACTCCGACTTTAACCACCGAGTCCGAAATCCTGAAATACCGTCATTCCAAAACTGGAACCACTCGTGCCTAGACCGGCCACCGTCAGTCAGTGAGAGAAGCCCCCTTCAAACGTGATCCGCAATCCTAAAGCCTGAGCGAGACGACAACGCAAAAATCGCAAACCTGTAAAACCCATAACAACAAAAGCCCAACCCGGAATTCTCAAACCAAAATCCAAAACTCCATAGACCCTCAGCCCTGAACCATCCTGCACCCGATACCTATCAACATCCTACACTACCGATTCTAAAGCCGCGAAAAGAGCCCCTGAAAGCCCTAAAAGTGGCTCTTGCCTGCTGCACCTGCTGCACCAGCAGGGACTGCAGGCTGAGACCCGGCACTCTGACCTGAAATCAGGGCTGTTTTCATCATATATGGGAGTTTCCGAAGATAAGGGGTACCTTGGTTTGGGGGGTCCTTAAAATACGGATCCTTTTTCTTTTGGGTGCTACGTTAAGGTCCCTTATTTTCGGAAACCCCCATATGTAGACAGCTCCAGGCTCACAACTAAGAATCATAATCATACTTATCATCACAGTACAAATAGTAAGACACATGCCAACACCTAAAGGGGGTTCCGATTTTGGGGCGCTTCAAGACGACTGCTGATTGAAATCAGGTCTACCTTATGCATGTCCCCGAAGCTGCGGCAGTTCATGGGGTTCACCGGGCTGCCCAGGTTTCGGTGGAAGATCCCAGTGGTTTCTTTCAGCGACTGCACCGGGCTTCGGGGGGGGCAGTGCAACGTGGCCTTAGGCTTCCGCTTGGGGTTTGCCGCGCCCGCTTTGCTTGCTTTCGGGCTTGGCCCCCCTCCATTCGAAAATGCACTCGATATTCCCTACACCTGCATGCAATGAAGTTCCAGTGTATGGAAGGAGACTTTGGAGACTGAGGCTGAGGTCACGGGGGGCAACCTTCTCACTGCTCACAGCTGGTACCCCGCCAGCAGTCTCGCAGGGCTTCGCTTCGTCACAGTCTATGAACCCCAAGCCTCATAAACTCTAACCCCACTCCCTCCATGTCAGTAACAAATGAACTGTTGCCGTGGATCCCAAACCCAATGCCCTACATTCAGACCCAAAACCGAGACCCCACAGTCTCTCCGCAGCGAAGGGTCGATCCTAAACCCTTCAAGACAAAGGACGGAGGAGAAACCCCTTCACCGCACAATGTGCGAGCACACCAACCCCCATAGCCCCTAAGCCCTAAACCCGAAAAAAACGCAGCTACCTGGGGCAACCCGGGTCCCCAGCGGATGGAAACGGTGTCTGCTGGCATTCCAGGGAGCCCTCTGCTCCGAGAACCTCCCGGCCCACCTGAAGGCTGTTCGTGGGGCTTTCTGAATTCTTGTTGTTCGGTAGGATTTTGGGGGTATGGCCGAGTATGGCTTGGGTTGATTTCTGTTGGGTCCAGGTGGCAGGGCTTGGGTTTCCAGGAATTTCGGAATTGGGGGGCAGGACGTTGTGGTGGCTTGTTGGGCTGAAGTTTGTTGTTGTACACAGGCAGGGAGGAGCCATCTTCGGCCCTGGCTCTGTCATTTAAGGTGGTCGGGTTCTAGGGGCTATAGAAGGCTGTCTAGGGTTTATAGGGTTTAGGGTTTACCCTAAACCCTTTCCACAGGCTTGAACTGAGGGGTAAACCCTAAACCCTAAACCCGTCTTGCTAGGCCTGAGTCCTCCCGACTCCGCACATGTCACAGCTTTGTCTTTACGGTCTGCTCGCCAGTTCAAGCACGTCAACACATGATGGGCGATTGGTACCAGTACAGTGTATCGAAGTGCCTTTAGACTGTCATTCTTGTACCAACCCCTCTCTTGTACCAATCCCTCTCTTTCGGCTTGCAGTACTAGCCCTGCAATTCATTCCGAAAGGACGCGCGACTATTGGAGGCAGCTTGTTTCCGACACGAGGGAGAGGCTGAGATCGTGCAGACCGTATGAGACGTCCTCGCAACCTCGGTATGGCACGTGAATGGCAGAAACGAAGGAGCCCCCGGGACGAAAGAGGCAGGATCGTGAGAACTTCAAGCAGAAGACCACGTCAACATCTGCGTTACCATAGACCTTCATGTGTCGGGCGATGATGTACGGCATGGATGTCCATGACACCTCGTGAAACTTCAAGCCCAAAACCCCTGCTGCCTCTATGGTGAATTACTCCGGACTCACCACTTGGCTCAGCTCGTGGCCCGGATTCCCGCAATTCACCAAATCGTAAAGTTTGAAAAATGACCTCGCGGCTTCTCCGCCCGCCAGGAAAACCTTATCGGAGCTGGGATGGTTCGCTTCCAGTTTGCAGACATTGGACACCACTCGGCCAAACACTGCCCAAGGATCCCGGTAAAGGTCCAGGTGCAAGTCGCTGACCCAGTGAACGTCCTCCCGCTGCCAGAGCACATGGCGGTAGGAAGCCAGGCCTTCTCGCTTCAACGTCTGCAGTGAGATGTTCCATAGGAACTCCACGTTCTTGTATGCAAATCGGGTCCTTCGGTAGTCTGTGTGTACAGCAGTCCCCCGGCCCAGGTATATGTTGCAACCATGCCGGGGAGGATCTTCCTTAAGCCCTGGTTGCAGAAATTGCACGAATAAGCGGCTTGCGCCGTAGGCGCGTGCCAGCCGCGAGACCAAGCAGAGACTTTGCCGCAGGCTCGCATTGGCGAGCTGAGGATTTGCGACTGACCTGCCCTCGCGCTTGGTGTGGATCTGGTCCGGGTTGAACACACCAATCCCCTGTTCAGCCATTCGGTCTGGTGCAACAGTTGGCTGCCAATACAACAGCACATAATAATCTACTTCATAGCCTTCGTGTGCTGCTGGCATGACCACATGCCTGAAAGAACTTCGAGGGTAGTAGCGGTCCTTGATGCCGGTCACCAGCACGGCCAAACGGCCTTTTAGTTCCGTGTTCTTCCTGGAAAAGAGCAGCGAACGGTGGCCTGGTTGGCTCCCCAAACTCTGCAGCCTCGCGGCAGCATGGCTGTGGCAGACAAGGCCACGGATTCCTCAAGGTACCCACCCGTGGCGGCGGCGGCTGGGGCTGCCGTGGCACCTTCTTACGATTGCGGTATCGCATATGCTTGTTACACCATTCCATCTTCTTGCGGCCAAATTCGGCCTGAAATCTGTTCTCCGTCTTGGGCAGATAACGATAGTGGGGAGCATCTTCGGGCAAAGTCTGCCTCCGAACATGCAGACAGCTCCACACAGTCATCTGGTCGAGCCACCTTTTCCGATTCGGGAAGTAGTGCTGGTAGCGAAGATGGAAGTCGTCCCACTGCAGCGTTGCGTTGGTGCTGATATTGAAGATCGATTTTCCAACTACAAGAGCGAAAAGGTTAGGCAAATCTTGCCCGAATCCATCTGACACTGACTGTACGCCGAAAATCCGGGTGAGGCCCCTCTCATCCAAGTGTCCGTCCACGGCGTGCCAGCCGAACAGATCTCGAAGGTTGGGCTTCGCATCCAGCCTCATTACATCCACAGCGCCATGGGGCCAGGAGCCTGTTCCCGTCAAGGCCACAGCCAAGAGGCCAGATACTCGGCTCACAGGGATCATGAAGGCTACAGCAATCCTAGTCCCAAATCCCTGGGCCGGAACATTGAACAATCGCTAACTATGGAACCGGTTAGTAGGTCCAAGTTCCTGCACTTTGGGGCTTGGGATCAGAAGTCTCCTGCCAAGCCCACCTCTGTGGCTGCTTCGGACCACAGACCCGTACGCTTCGTGCTGCTTAAACTCTGGCCCGATCCTAAAAGCCTGTCCATGTCCTATGCCCTGCAGATCCCGAGCCCTGAACTTTCAGCTTCACCCGTATGCCCGGATCTCTCTCCCTCTGTTGTACAGCTCGGCCAGAGAGGTCTGCGAGTGCATACCTTTCTCTCTCTCTCTCTCTCTCTCTGTCTCACTGAGCAGACTCAGAAGAAGATGCAGCTGAACCTGAAATTTTAACCTCTCAACTCAATGCAGCTGCCCGAACCTGCAGGAGCATCTCTGCGGTAGACCCTGGAAGCGCAGATTCATCGTCAAGGTCAGCCGCATTTACGGCGATCAGGATGTCCTGCCCATGCGTCTACCGCCCGCTCTAATCCCGATCATGGGCCTCTCTGGGCCCTGACTTCCTGAAACTAGTTTCTATGAGTGTCCTCGCGTGTCGTCGGGTTCTGTTGGCTTACTTCTCCCAATTTCTCCAAAGGTTTCGTGTGTAGGGCTCCCAACCCTAAGTCGAGCTAAATCTCTCGAGAGCTGTTCGAGTCCTGGAGCAAGCCCCCGACTCATTCCAATCATTCGCTTCAACGCGAACTTCATGACCTTCACATTGAGCCAGCAAGCAGCAGCCCTCAGCCCCGAACTACTACCTTCTCTGCCCTGCTCCGACGTTTGAACAATGAAGAGAAAACGGCATAGTTGTGGCCTAAGATGACTTATCAACATGGCGATTGTGTTCGAGCGCCGTCTGCAGCAGCATGGGGGAAGATGGCTTCCGGATGGTAGTACTTTCGACTCACTCAATCGCGCAAGGCAG